CCTCATATTTACTTATTGTACACTGAAGCTCATGTTCATGATTGGTTGAGCACCATACCGGTAGAATGTGTGAATGTGAGGCAAGGGGGCAAGAGACTGGGAGTGTCTTAGAGAGTTGGGGGGTACAATGACATGAATGAGACTGGTTTACAACCCTATTGTGGTAAAATGATGTACACGTATGTGTCTCACTTCAGGACATTTCGAGAAAAAATGACTGAAATTTAGGTTTTGGAAAACTGTTTAATGTCCTGACAACCACAAATTTGATTTTTTTGTATCATTCATCATTTTTACAGATACATTGTAATCATTATGTGATTTGGGGGAAGATTTGCCAACAGAAACATGTCAGACATTGCATTATTTTACTGAATAAAAGGGTCTCAACAGTTACATGTAATTTTTTCATGCTGAGATACATGTATATACATCTTCAAAGTGCTTCATCTGTGATTCAGAATCACAAATAATTCCCTCACATTACTGGAATATACTCATGAACAGTGCCTTCACATTACTGTAATATCATTGTAACTCATAAACAGCGCTCTCACATTACCACAATGTCATTCTAACTCATAAACAGCACCCTTACATTACTTGGTTAAAACTCATTTTTTTATACATCATTTTCAGGGCCGTAAAGGACCTGGACAAGGTGCTGACCAAAGGATTTTTTTCAGTGTCGTGAGACTTCAGTACTCTGCAGTGGAAGTTTCTTGTTTTGATGCCAGAAAATAGCCAAATTAAATGACGGTCATTTTTGCGATGTGAATGCCATTTGTTTAAATTTGTAATCACTACGTATGATCCTTTGATCCTTTGAGTAGTGTACAAATGCAGATAGACTTGCTTCATCACTAAGGTGGAAGCAAGGAACTGTATCTCTGAGAAGATTGAGTCCTTTCCTTGCCTTTTTGTGAATCAGTGCCTAAGATTCTGATGAGGATCCCTCATGCAATCTTGGAAACTGTTCCTCCTTGGTGATGGAGGCGAGGACTGGCATCTATCTGAGTTACTTCCTCTCCTTGACATTCTTATGAATCATCTCTGTGAAGTCCCATAGGATCTTGTCCTCCATCTTCTCTTTCTCCAGGTTGAAGGAGGCGAGGGTGCTCTTCTCATCAGTATCAGGGTCTGCTTCTCCTGGGGCATACCCACAGCTTTCATGTGAGGAGGTCTGGGAAGAAATTAATCACAAAAGGAACTAAGTTGCAGCAGTAATTGAGACATTTCTTCAAAAATTATAGGATCCTTGTAAACTCCTTATTTTACACCTTTTATTTCATTAAAAAATTGTTAGTGTCTATTAATTTTCATCCATTTTCATGTCAGAAAATAAACTATGACAAGAGGATTCCTTCGACACTGCTGACCCATTACTTCTGAAAGCATTTGTGGTTGTACTCTTTGTTAAAAATATTTTTCCAGACACCCTTTTAGGGTTAAGTGAATCAAAAAGTCACATTTTTAAACATATGAAAATTTGTAACTTAAAAACAAACAATTTGAGAAAATGTGTTAAATTTCCTTTTCAAAATATTCACTAAACAACAGGGATGTCAGGAATTTATCTGAATTTAACATAATGTGCAGCTTGGCTTCTACTAATGACTTGTAATAATGGGCAATATTATGAGGAAGAAAAATTGAACTGTGCCAGGTTGGAACTTTAATAAAAAGACTAACAGGACCAAATAATGTTTGATGGACAATTGCCACAGTTGCCCCAATCCATCTTCGTTAATGCACAGCAGTGCTGCACAGCAAATCATGAAACCCCAGGGGGCAAGGCAGCCATTTGCTCATAGTTATTAAAAATGGAGACTTTCCTTTAATGCCCCTGCTGTTGTCAGTCTAAAGCTATTTCATGTCTATGATTAGACGCTTCATTTCATGAGTTTTACTATTAAAACTATGAAACCTAAATTGCTCCTTGAACATGTTGAACATGTCTCAGGACCTGTGGACCATTGATCAATGATAATTTGTCATGAAACAGCAAAGAACCATGAAGAGAAAGGAACTTCAGGCCAGGAAAATGTGAACAATCCCAGTATAGTGGGTGCATTCAACCAACATGCCCTGGTTACAAGGGTTTAACTCCATCCCAATCGTCTTACTTGGACGACTATGCACACAACCATCCCTAGGTGAGGTTTGTCCTAAAAGCTAGCCTCAACCACCAAAGGGTGGATCCAGGACCCGTTTTTTGTCGGGGAAGGGGTCAAACTTGATTCTGGGGGCCAATTTTTTTTTTATTTTAAAATTGTTTGAGGGGTTAGGCGACATTTCCACTTTTCAAAAGAAGGGAAATTAAATAGACCAAAAAGATCCTTCATTTTTTCAAATGAAAACAATTTTTGCTCCCTTTTTGGTCATGACCCCAATTGGCCCCCCCCCTTTCCTGGATTCATCCTTGCAGAAAGCCAGCAATGATATGAAACACAGGACTCTTACCTGTGCTCTTTATGACGTAACCTGCCTCTTCACTTTGGAGATTTCATCAGTCAGTCCACTCGCACCATGACGCTAGCCAGCCTCAACGTTCATGTAGGCAGCCATGGCAGTACATTCACCTGGCAGTGAGGTGCCTTCTGAAATCTAAACACAGGGAAAATTGACAGTAAAACATTAAGAAAAGGTCACCTAAGGTTTTTCAGTCACACTGTAATGAAAAAGTTTTCCCCAAATGAGCAAAACATCCACATTTCAACCTGTCACCACATAGACTCTTATTGTGGGTCGCTGTTAAATCCATAAGACCACACAGCGATGGGGAGTGCAGGGCATAACAGGCTGGGTGGGGCCAGGGCCCAATTTCATGGGGCTTCTCAACACAGAAGAAAAATTGTGCTAACTTTAGCATAAAAATGTGCTAACCTTGCATGAGCACTAGCCATTTCATGGCGGTGCTCGGGGTGGTTGTGCTAATGGTTGCATGCGGATAGAGATTTCTGTTGTTACATCACTAAGTTGAAGCAAATCTTTCCTCCAAGGTTAGGATGCATTTGGCTGTACTTACTGTTTACGGTACGCATGAAATACGCAGAGCCTCTGTAAGCGTGAAATCGCGTGCTAAGCAGCGCTGAGAAATTGGGCCCTGATTGTTACAAGCAAGGTTCCCGCAAAATCTGAAAATCAAATTCAGTGACCTTTCCTGCACTTTCCAGAACTAAAATATGACAATTTCCATGGCATTTAATGCCACCCTGCACAGAAAATTTGTTTGGTATAATAAATGGGAAGACTGCCATAGCCACTATCCACAACCACCATCAAAATCACCCTTGTACAATCTTGATTTCCATGACTTTTCCTCAGACCAATTTTCTGTGAGTTTTCCATAACTTTCCAAGATAACTTTTTCCCAGGATTTTCAATGACTATAGGAACCCTGTACAGGGACAAATGGGTTAAAAGTACTGTATAGTCTATCATTTGAAATTATCCAAAAAGTATCAAAAATTGTTGTTGAAAAGCATACTTGGTTTAGATAGAGGACTAAATTCTGTGAGAAACTGTTCTTTCTGGCAAACGGTCATCATGAAGAAACAATGATTTCAAGCAGGCGCCTTCTCAAATTTTTGGAAAGTCACTATTAGAAATGCATGCAGGCATTGACACGATGCACAGACACTAGCAGTTTCTATAATTCATCAGTTCAGGGGGTGACAAGGTGTAGCTGCATTCAACTGAATATGACAATGTTTCCCAGATGCTGAATTCAGACACAATTTAAAACACGACTCATTAACTTTTGATCTGAAATCTTAAGTCTTAGAATAGTTTTCTCAAATATGGAGCATCACTATTAAGCTGAAACTTCATCTTCATCAGGTTTGTTCTTGTGTTCCCTTGTTCAGATTTTGAGTAATTTTGTTGCTTCAAAGGAAAATAATCCACAAAAGACAAATGATGGACTGTACCTTTAAACAAATTGTTGCGACAACCAAAATCATGACTAGTATTGTCATGAAACAAGAGATGGCTACACTCTAATGGGGCAGTGATGCCAGAAGATGAGCCCACAGGCAGGGGACCAACCACGCTGCTATCTCCTTACTCTATTAGGCCAGTTATGCCAGAGGATGAGCCCACAAGCAGGGGACCAACGCGCTGCTATCACCTTTCACACTGGGTAAAAATACAGTAACAAAAAGGGAGCAGTTATGTCTGTACGCATTGTAATAAATGTATTTTTGTTTGAGCATGTCCCCAGCAGAGTTGTGGGTTCTAAGGCGATGTCCAAAAGGTGTGGCTGAGGCTAGATAATTAAAGCCACAAGTGAGTGGCTTCAGTCATTTGCCACAGACTTATGTAATTCTGTCAGCCTAAGCCGGCTGATTCGGAAAAGGTCCATCTTCAGCCAGTTGACACATGTACAAACTGCAGGGGGTACCCAGTGACTGCTTTCTCAACTTAACAAATTGTGAAAACTCTGGCTGTGCGAGAGGAAATTTCTTGAAAAACCTCTGAATTTTACCCTAAAGAGCTGAGGGCGGAGAGAGATAATCTACCTTCCTCAAACATACTTTCCAATATTATCAAGGTGCATATTTTCGAGAAGCCTTCTGGAATTTTTCTGAATAACTCTTTTTGGTCATTCTGACACCATTTTTGTCAAAACCATTCTCATGTAGCAACTTTTTCTGAGAGAGGTCAACCAAGAATGTATACTTTTCCGCTGCCATTCCCAACTTCCAAGTTACTGTCAAACCATATGACAGATTGAAATAAAACTTCAATATTTGTACACCTATTGAGAAGGAAAGTCATGCTTACAAAAGCTGTAAAAAAAATCCAGCATTTGTAAGCCCAATTCATAGGGGATATCCACGGGCTGTGAGGTGGTCCAATGTAACCAAGCTCTTTTAGGGTTAAGACATTAGGAAGTACCTGGGCCAAATCTACCTGCAAAAGTTGATTTCTTCACAGATGGCAAATATGACTGAAAAGTGACAGCTTTTCTACCTGCTGTTTTCTCCATCCACTGTTCTTGCTCCTCATCACTGTCAGAGTGGCTGTCACTTGGGTCCTCACTGGCATGACTGGAACTTGAGTCTCTCTGGAGCCCGCTTCTAGAGAAGAACAAAAAGGATATAAAATACGGATGTCATCACTGACTCTAGGTGTTAACTTCAGCAGTGAAAACAGGGTGGTGACTTCATCATAAAAAAAATTGAAAAAATGAACAAAAAGTATAAGCAGTATCTATCCTTAGTGGAAAGCTACATTGCATTGTCAAATTTGTCGGACGAAGGAAGTCACAGTATAAAGGTTTGTATAGAATTGTTGGTTTTGTTTCCGATATCTAGGGCCTTTTTACACGCAGTCTTTGGACCATGTAGGACTACTCACCTTCACTGTCTGTGCTACGACTGACATCATAGTCATCTTGATCATTTTCTGTGAGGCCAAATTTGTCAGAGCTGACAAATTGTAGACAGAGTAATGATTACTTAAGCAGCAAGACGTAAGGATAGCATAGAAGGACGGTGGTTCCTGTAAACCTTTCCAAATCCTAAAAATCTTCAACAGAATGATACATTCTCCACAAGCATCAAGTCTCATTTGAATTCAAAGAGGCTGGGCTGGGCTCTACTGTCCTCAATCTTCCACAAATCTCCTGGTGGATTTTGAAGGATCTGGGAAGGTTGGCATTAAGACACACGTAATAATACTGGGGAATTTTTATTCATGCTACAGCAAAGTGCCTGCCTTCAAGAGTTGGCAGTTGACCTGAGATGGAGTTGACTTGAAGCAGGTCATTGATTCCAGACCAAGTTGGTGACTTCACACTGACATGACTGATGAGTATACAGTGTGTTTACATCGCCATGTTTTGCTGGACCATATCCAAATCTTTAAAAAGGCAATTCGTTCGAGTCCAAGTTACTCAGACTATCATTGACTGACCTAAATGTACATCATCCTGATGTAGTCGCGTCAATTATCATTTCAAAAATTCCCTATGCAGAGCATGCAAAATTTAGTGAAGTTGGGCTTATATCATTAACGGAATGGCCTAGTAATCAGCTGCACGTACGGCCGAGGGGAGCACATCAGACTCAACGACTTCAGGGATAAATAATTTGCAAGATGTGTGCAAAATCTTGGTGGGCATATAGGCCTGCTATAGTACTGAAGTTACTCATGCCAATTTCATAGAAATAGGCCATGTAGGCCTACTGTAGGCATGCCTAGTGTTGATCCTAGTCCTACATCATAGTACATCATGTACTAGTCTCAACATTAGCCCAGGTTGGACGACGTCTACATTGCATTGAATCGCAATGTAATGTGGCCGTCGTCGTCTTTTCCTTTCCCCATGGTCTCATCACTCTCAACTGAAGAACTAAGCCTATAAGCAAAATGATTGCACTGGTACATACTCCATCAATGTCATCACGTAGGTGTGCCACCGATTCCTCAACGCTCAAAGATGATACACGAAGTCGCGAAAATAAACGGCTTAATGCAACCACCATACGCCCAGTACACTACACATGTGCCACCGCACCCACGTGTCTGTAAAATGGGTTTAGATGCAACGTGAGTTTTGCGTAGTGACGTAAAGCATGTATCCAATGCTGGCTGGCCACTGACACTGAACAGGGGTTTGTTAGGGAACTAGACTGAATTCCCCAAAACGTTGCTGCCCTCAACGTTCGCAATTACTCAGTTGGATCGTTTGGCTCTGACCTTTAATCATTTACTTCTGTCTTTAGATCATTTTATTTTGTTCTTTGATTTATTTTTGAAAATTATTTCTGTCACCACTCTGAAAAAGACCACTGGAATGACTGGTTACGTGGGTACAAGGTGAATATCCCTTGAGAAGAGTGACACTGACACTAAGGTTGATCACGCGGGGTGGCAGTAACTTTGCAATTGGGCTCTGTCCTTTGATCGTTTAGTTTTGTCCTTTGATAGTTTCTTTTTTAACCGTTTGAGGTTTTTGTGGTTTATTTCACAAAAGCTATTGGCAAAATAGGATTCACAGCTGTGATCCATTTTTGGTTATTCGTTTTTCATTTATCTTTTTCAAATTCATTTTTGTTCTTTTTTAATTTACCTGTTTACATCTTCGATGTTCTTTGTTTATGTATTTTTTTAATTTAAATTTTGTGCTTTGTTTTTTGTTTGAAACGTTCATTTTGTAAAATATTAATTTTGGCCCCGATGGCGCTCCATATGGATGGCCCCAAAGTGGCCTGTTCCATCAGGTTTGTTCTTTAGACCGTCTGAAAGGAATTCTGTTTTAGGGCTCTCTGTTTGAGAGAAATATTAATCCAGCCTGCGTTACCGGCACCCAAAGTAGCCACCTGGGCCCGCTCTAGCCCCACCAGTGTGGCACAGACCCTCACCCCCTGGGAGCGACATGCATAGGGTCCGTGCCACACTAGTGGGATAGGCCCACTCGTACCGGAGGACTTCGGGTTTGTGTCGAGGGACCGAGTGCCCCCTGGACCCTGCACCAAACCTTGACAATCCAGGGAGACCAGGACTTTCACACGGAAAACTTAGAGAACGTCTGGACTGGGGTTTTAGTGGAGGCTGTCACCTTTCCTGACTAGGCGTAGACATTGGCGGAGACTGATGTTCCTTCGCTGCCAAGATTGCCACAAGTACCCTGCGGACTCTTGCATCGACACCGAGTGCCTGGACTGATATTGACAATTCTCGCAATCTATCGAATTGAGCCCTTCCACAATTTTTTTGCATTTGTTGGTCTTTCAAATATGCCAACATTGTAATAATGGTCTGAGTACTTTAAAAATAGATTGCTCTGCATCTGTAAATTTTATCCCACTTTGATTTTGTTGATTTGTTTTTCCTCCTTGCAATAAAGCAGAATAAAGGATGATACCCATGAACTTTGACCAGAGTTGTCACTTTTAATTCCAAAAGGAGTTGATCTAAAAGTTGGTTCCTGTTATTAAAATATCATGGTTTATCCAAGGTTGACTGCTTGCAACTTATGAGTCAAAAATCTGTTTCCACTAATTTTGTAGGAATTTTATACAGTTCCTAAGGTTTGCCGTGTAGTTCTGTTTTGTAGTCAAATGACAAATATGGAGCTTTAATAGCCAACTATTTGGATTTCCTTGACTTCTTCTGGTCACAACTTATGGCTAATGAAATAACACCACAAGAAGTCGGACCCACGGTTGAACATTTCGGTATTTTATTTCTTCAAACGTCTCATTCACATTATGTACAGGCCTGACAGTATCAGTCATTAGTCATGAATATTCATACATAACCATATTGAAGATTATTGCGAGTAATGTTATTCAAAACATCCAATTTATGATTATGCCAAAACAATACCTTTATTCTTTTTTATCTAGATTCTGATTTTCCTTGTATTAATGGAAATGTAAACAAAACTGCAAGGTGCTGACATTATTATTATCCATGACACTGTGATCAAAATATTTATGGTTTCACTCAGTACAACAGAAAATCGGTTTCATAAAATTACTCGGACCCCTCCATCACAATAAATAACGGTTACGTGTCAAGATGATGCATACTGCTGTGGCAATTGAGCCATCCCAGGGTCATCAATATTCATTATGTATAATGCTGATATCCATAACATACGCATTCTCCAATGTACAAAATAACTTCTTCGAAGAGTACTTTTTGCCAAAAAACAAGCTCACATGCAATTGTATTTATGCACAAAAACAAAGCAAGAATAATGCTGCCTGCATGACAAAGTTCTTTAACTGGACAAAAACCTCTTTTAAATCAAACAATTTTCTTAAGCAAGTTTTTAGATATATACTTCAGAATTAAACAAGCAAAACAATACTAAAATTCTAATCCAGTATCACAATAAAGCTTACGAGGATATAAGTACATGTATAGGAAAGTTCTGGTTTCCCTCGGCCTCGGGCAACTTAATTAAGAAAACGTATAGAGGCTTTACGTGGTAGACATCTTGCAGGGCAGTTTTTTGTTCGACACGGAAACCTCCTTTGTGCATACCCTCTCGAACAAAAGTACTGGCCTGCAAGATTGCGGCCCTGTAAACCCTCGACTGGACTATTATATTAGATTACGTTCCTTTATGATCGATTTTGACAACTATTTACAGGTCAAAGATGGAAAACTTGGAAAAGAAAAACGTGAAACAGGAAAACACTTCCGATGAAGACCATCACACACATTGTATTTCGACGCAATCTTCCTTTTTTTAAATTTGGGGACAAATCGACTTACTTACGGGAATAAACTCCTGGGAAAAAGACTATTCAATATCAAAACTTTCAAATATTTTTGGTCAAAGCAAGAGAAGGGCTTTGGATGAAAACCTCTCCGACAGTGGAAACAATAGAAGCAATCTTAAAGATATTACGTATTTGTATTTTTTAATTAAATTTATACATTACATGTCTATGCAAAAAAAATCTGCTTTATGGTTTGCTGCGTACATTAATTTTTATACAACCGATTCAAGTCAAGGAGTTGTGAGAAATTCAACACCAGCTCGTATAACAGAACAAACGAAAATGTGTCCACGTTCCAGTTATTGAAAAACAACCATTTACAAAAGTGCAAAATATTACACAACCAACATTAGAAATCGTTCAAGAGCGATAAGCAGAATTTTAAAAATAAACAGATAAATCACCCACACCTTTTATCCACAGATAAGTTGCACATCCAAACATTGCTCGCTCGCCAAGCAATGTTACTTAGTAGTTCTATTTTCACAGAATTGGAAACATTCTTGAAATGACCCTCACGAAAAATCTTCCCTTTTTGACAAATGATCGCACAATAATCGTGCTTGCTGTATGCAAACGTGCCCCCTTCTCGATCATGCACGACGCCGATTTCCATCTATAATGGGGCTCATTCATCGACCCTTACAGACAGTCAGAAAAAAAAAACACAAAGGCAAAACGTCTGTCCTACACCATCGTCGACACTTTTTTACTTGCAGAGACTGCAAACAACTTTTTCAAGATTTTTTTTTACAAGGAAAAACACTAGTTCATTTAACCATGGTTACAAGAAGCATCATATATAAAAATAGTACTTATTAAGATTTACTTACAGAGAGAAAAATCACTCATCATTTCTACCATATTTTAAGGGAGCTATTCGCATTTTGTTCGGTAAAGAACTAGTTCTACACATTAGAAATTTCCAATCAAATATATATTTACAACTATTTATACTTTTGTTCGGTCAGCATAATTAAAAATGAAAAAAAAATCATTTTCTTACATATTCAACCAATTGAAGGGAAGCTCGTAAGACTTGCAAATCTTGATTTTTGATTAAAGATTACACGAAGATTAAAATACATGATCAGTCAAGAAAAAATCATACAACTTACACTTTCCAAATATCACTCCTTAAAAAAAAATCAACTCTTACAATCATATTCATTCACTTTTTCGTAAGGACCACTTTTTGTTGGTCAGCTTGTCCAACTGACATTGTTTGCTTCCGTGCAGGATTTCCGATTGTTAAACACGATTGCTCCGACTATGTACATATTCACAAATACTGTACACGGCTTGAGTTGCATAGTGTTAAAAGCCATGACTCTATATCACAGATAACTAATAATTATCCTAAAAATGTGTTACTCGTGACTGCTTTTACTACGGTGAAAAAAAAGAACGCACTCAGGGATGATTACAGATGCTTTGCTCACGGGCACACATAATCACAGAACATGGCAGCAAAAGTTCCAGATATCATGTGGCCTTTGGGATAATTGCTCTACAATCAGACAGCTGGATAGATGTTTATGCTCAAATTTGGCTGTCAGTATGACAACATCTACAAGACCAGAGGCCGATCCATGACTTTTTTTGGAAGTGGTAGGCCGAATCAGTGCCATATTCAGGCCACAGCTCGGAGGGGGAGGGGTTCAAAGTGGGAAGTTATATAAAATGATTGTTCAGTTTTTTCATCTGTAAAAGAATCCTCTCCCAAAAGAAAGTGGGAGCAGTTTCTGAAATGCTGGCACTATTGATTCCTTACAAAAAGGGGCGGGGGGAATTTGCCCCGGCTGGATACACAACATTGCCAAATCATAACTTGGAAGTGTCAAAGGAGAAGGTGCAGTTGTCAAGGTCTCAAGCTCAACACATGGTGAGACCACACACCTCAATCAATGAGAGAAGATTTGGGATACTGCATATCATTTTTGCAGTGGACATACAAGGTTCTTGTCAACACCAACCAAATCACCTTGGCCCCTGTTATCAGCCCACTGAGCACACAGAAATAGCCATCAATCCATAGGGGAGAAAAGTCCACTACAAGACAGCTAGACTTAACATGCTTAAAGGTCCATATTCTGATAGTTTAGCCCAGCAGTTAAAGAATTATACAAAAGTTGCAAAATAAATTACACATACCCACACCAAGTAACTAATATTAAACCAATCAAAGCAACTTTAAAAGACAAATCACATATCAGTTTGACAGTAAAGGGAAAATAAAATGTATTTGAACACCAAAAATCTATCTTTTCTACAGATATTTTCAACGTAATGAAAGGCATGTCATGGCAGCATTTTGCTCAATTTTTTTCCATCAAAGCCTTTTAGTGAGCTCAGTTGGAGTGAAAAATGGAAATAGACTCAACTTAACATTCAAATTCATGTTATTGTAATCAAGGCATACATTCGCTGATGCCAAAAACATAAAACAAAAGGTGTTTCAAGCACCTGCACATGTTCCAAGCACCTGTGCAAGTTTAGGTGCATGTAAAGTTTGAACTGGTCCGAGGACCTGCAGGTGTCTACTCATCTTCAGGTGCTCACAGCACCTGTGCATGCTCCCAGCACCTGTTCAAGTTCCAGGCACAGATAGAGTTACAGTTGGTCCAAGAACCGGCAGGTGTTTGTGCATCTCAAGGTGTCCATAGCATTCTCTACATAGCTGTTCAAGCACCTGTAGGAGTTTCAAGCATTCTGGCAGAACACCTGCAGGTGTTCACTTACATAGATATTCTATGCATTCTCACTCAGCACCTGTAGATGGCAATGCACCAACAGGCCTCCACACATATTTCCTCTGGCACCTGCAGGTGTTGCTTGCATTCCCCCTCAGCACATACAGGTGTTGTGCACCTGTTTCCATCTGGTACCTGCAGGTGTTCCTTGCACCTGCAGCTCCTCCATAAGTTTATTTTACATCCACGCGCCTAGCTGCTTCTCCACCACAGCCAGTGCATCCTGCCGACCCATCTCCTGCAGGACTCGGGCCAGGTCCAAGACAGCACCTTCCTCCCGGTGCCTTGCCTCCCACAGGTCTAGGATTTGGTCAGTGGGGCTTGGCTTGATAGCAAAGTAGTTAATGTAGCTGTGACAGTACAAAGAAGAATATTGTGTGAATATTTAAATCTACCACGACTAGTGTAGGTCTGTACACAACTACTATCTGTTGGTTGAAAAGAGGTGTGGCCAATCTTTATTTAAATCTACCACGACCAGTGTAGGTCTGTACACAACTACTATGTGTTGGTTGAAAAGAGGTGTGGCCAATCTTTGGATTGCCCATGTGCAGACCTCATCAATTAGCATAAAGATGAGCTACCCATGCTCGATGTTGGACAAGATATCATTCGTGGAAAAAACAAAACCCCTTCGCTTGTTGAACTTTTTATAATGCAGAGTCCATACATCTCAACAAGAAATGATGTACACGTATTGCAGGAAAATAAACTTCATTGAAATCGGCTGCTGGTGAGGTACTCTTAAAAAATGAGACCTTGCAGTGTTAGGATGTACTTGGATTAGAATGATCAGGCTGTTATGTTCTGAAAACCATGTCTTAATCTTGCTTTTGCCACTAAGTACAATGTAATGCTGATCTGTTACATTCAGGTAGCAGACCAATCCATTAAGCTCCACCTCCTGATCTTCTGACCAATCACAGCTATGAGTTATGTCCGACACAGGAGCACAGAAGTTTGACATGTGCAAGTATATATGACCCATGCGGCTGCAATGGGCAGTGTCGTGCTGGAGAAAAGCACGTGTTCAATGCAAATGTGCACAGTGGGCGGAAACTGACAGGATCGGTCATTTTGCAAGGTGTCTAACTTACCCATCCACACCCAGTTTGGAGGCCAGCATCCTCCAGTCATTCCCTCGGCTCCTGGGTGGGTCCAGCAGGGTACAGAGCTGGGAGCGGAAGGGCCGGGACAGGCGAAAAGCCTTGTTGGGGGCCTCCAGGGTCATGGAGCCATAGCTGGAGCTGCAGTTGGCCACGTCTGGATCCGAGTGACTGTGGTCGCAGGATATCTGCCAAAGACAGACAGAGGGCAAATTAAACCCCTTTGCTAAGGAAGCCGTGTAAACATAATCTAGCTTTCAGCATACACAGGTGTGGCTAATGCTTTTTAACATCAAGCATGCCCCAACGCATCTCCGGTTGACATCTGACAATGGTAATCCTCCATTTGTTTGTATACAAACACGAAATCTGTTAAGTAATCCAGACTTAAGTTTGGCCACAGTACACAGCCTGACGTGGTAGCAAAAATACTACTCCATGGGCACGCCCACAAGTTTTGACAAAATGAGGTTGCAATGAGAAGTGTATATATACTCTTCAAAAGGCTCCTATGAATCAGCATTTGTAATTGATGGTAGCGTATCAAAGGTTGGCCGCTCAATCTTGCCTATTTTGAAAACAAAATTGAAATTGTCCACCCAAAACAATACCATAGGTAAGAGGTTTGAAAGAATGCCTGAACACAAGCTATAACTAGCTATCTTGACGTGACTTACGTCGTCCACACATCGAGATATCTCGATGACCTGCCTCGTGTTCGGGGACGACCCCTGCATGACCTCGATGCGACATCTCACCATAGAGACAGTGGGGTCGACCCTTCCCAGGGTGAAGGCACAGTGCAAAGTGTTGGACGCTCCACTCCAAATGTGATAGAAAGGGATTTCCTGCAAGATAACACATCACGAAACTGCAAAAGTTATCAAAGACCTTACTTCAAACTCATGGCAAAAGTACCTTAAGTTCATGTACTGTTTTTCACTTGAAAACTTTACCTGTGATCAGTGACTATTTCAATTGTGCAATGCATGCCCCCCCAAAAGAAAAATGACAATTTTCATATAAATGTTCAGAAATAATAACCCCCTCTACTGTTGATGGTTTATCAGTGCTCCCCCCTGAATTCCTTATGAAACCCATGTGGGCTTACAATCCATCGAGTATTCCAATTTCCCAAGGCAAATTCTCCAAGGATCACCTCAAGAGGGTAATTTTCCTACACCAGAAGAAGTAATCAATATTTGATAATGTTTATCAGAGTTACAGATTGATTAAAAAAAAAGTGGGTCAGTAAATTTTTGTCTGAGCAAAAACTGGCTGTCCGTGTTTTTACCTATCCTTGGGTTAGGCGGCCAGACAAGACATTGGACGCATTTCAAAGAGCTCTAAAGTTTACTCAGCACAGAGAATAATTTGGTCAGAAAAACTGGATACAGGCCTAACACTCAAGGCATGTACATGTACAAGTGACTCGTGTCTTGTTAATTCTCACTGAGCATGTAAATTGGTTGGGCGAGATTTTCTGCCAAAGGAGGTCTAGGAAAATAGGCCAAAGGAGGAAATTTTTTTACCTGGAAGTTTGAGGCAACTTTGCACTGCCAGCCTGACATAATGTCCTCGATGGACAGCCGCAGGTTGTGGCCGGTGTCCGTGAAGTGCAGCTGCTTGGGTCTGTGCAGCAGTCGGCCGCCTAGCCTCTGCTCAATCTGAATCACATTCTGCAAGACAATGGGGTGAGAAAACAATGATATTTAATAGCAAATCTTACACTGTCTAGCCAGAAGTGTAATGTTCAGGAATTAAGTTAATGTGATTTCTAGTTTCTAGTGTGATGTTTGAGTTCCAGCTGCGAGTTTCACGGCCTCTAACTTAGCCATCTCCAAAGACAGTTGCAAACAAGAGGCTGGAGATCTACGGTAGTTGCAAACCTACACAACATTCTGCTAGTGGCATTTAATGGTATTAGGCCAACAAAAAACAATACCTGGTCTCTGGTTAGACCAAAAGTCCAGAATTGATGCGGCGATGTGGTTTTTTTGGGGGGGGGATGGAGTTGTCTTTTTAACACTGGCAACGGACGCAAAAACGACTGGCATATTTGATCAAAGAGCAAAGTCTAGTAGTAGCACATCTCACATCATGCTGCTATTCGTAACCTACCCATGGTCTACTGTTTGTGTTCAACATCAACATTACAAAGTCGTACTGAATCTATCACCGGGTATGAGCTACACACGAATTAATCTGGTTCCTTAAACAAATTGCCCTTCTGACTCGTGGACTTGTGGCTGGGAATCACTCTACTCGCAAACATTCAGGTATTGCAGAAATAGAGGGCACTGTTTTGAAATTTGTGAAAAAAATGAAAAAAAAAATTGACGAGCACGTTCAAAATCAATGCGCCCACTGACCAGAGACTGACTATATTTTTGGCCTTACTTCAGACAGTATTCTCTGCTCCATCAAAAACTTGAGTATCTTCCTGTCTGCTACTCAGAGAGATTGTGCGGATTCCGTATGTGTCAGAGACAAAGAGTTCTCCTCAAAACAAAAGCTGTGAAGGTTTGTCTCCCATGTCTCAAACTGCTGTTTCAGTTACAGCAGTTTTTTCTTTTCCACAGATGACCCTGAGAGCAAAATATGCTCCACTATGGCCGACAAGAAAAGTTCGACAGGACCATAAAAATGCTCCATCTCACCTCCAAAGTATCAGGTGTGTCCTCCATGATGTAGACCTTGACACTGTAGTCCATCATGGCTCGCAGGACGGGCCCAAACACGGCGATCTTCAGCACTTTGCTGGCAGCCTGGCTGGGCAGTGACTCCCCCACGAAGGCGAACCAGCTGAGCTGGTCTGTCACGATGGAGCACTGCCTCTTGTCCACTTGGCAGAAGATGGGTGTGTTGATGGTCTCCTCGCCTACCGTCAGGATTTTCTGAAAGAGGGACGGGTGCACCATTATGAACCAGACTCGCTGTGAACCCTTCAGATCTATATTAGGTGGCAGACCTATTGGTAAAAGGGGGCCTGGAGGACCAGCCCCCCTTCCAAAAGCAGCTATGTTCCCCATCAGATAAAAAAAAAACCATTAGCCTTAAAATTATCTGCTGTTCTTATGATGTGCCCCCTGGTTAAATGGTACTGCCCCACTCCTTAATGTCCAAGGCTGGCGACGGTGCTGTTTAGGGGAAGGATGTCAGTCAAAGTTTGGATGATTTGGTATCTAGGAAAAAAAGACCTTGGGAAACTTATAAAGTATACCAGTATTTTATAAGCTGGCGTTATTTCTTTCAGGAAAGTGACATGTGGTTTGCAAGCATTTACAGCAATGAACCAAAGTACAGCCACATACTTTGAAGTGATGTCTTAAAATTGCTGACACAATAAAGAAGACATGCACACCTTCTCAGAATACATGCACAAGTATAGTTCACTCTTCATTCTAAAGAGGATGGAACTCAAATCTTAGACTTTGCCCCTCTGTTTTATTTTTTGAAATCGTAAACTTCGAGGTACTTTTGGTCCTGGACTCTGACTGAAAATTAACCACTGCATTCAGCACAACTTTGTACTCTTCTTCAATGCGGGAAAACAAATTTGACATCCTTTTGGGGTTACATATCAATGCAACATTGATGAGCTTTTCTCCTTGGAATGACATCACAGTTTTACTCATGAAATATGGAATTTCACATTTTCAGCATGAAAAACAAGAAAGGCTCCAAAATATCTTTTAAACCGGCAAGATATATTTTGAACATAAGGTTAATTGAAACATAAGGACTGTAGTAAAACGACTGCATTGCATGGCTTCTTTAAAGATGTTCTGATGCCTTTTGGGGTTTTATGCTAATGTCACTTTCCATATTCATGAGGAAAACCTGGACCCTTTAAAAAAATGCAATGATGTAAAAAGGGACCCACCTCCCAAGCTTGCTTCTCGCCCGACCGGCAAATGTTGCTGTACACAGAGCACCTCCAGTCCCCTCTCATGCCGTTGGCGCAGTGCGGCGTGCTGATGATGACGGGCTTGGCGAAGGTCAAGCCTGGTGGCCCGCAGATGACCACAGGGCTGAGGATGGTCTGCTTGCCGCTGACCCGGGGACGGTCGTTGACGTCCCGGCTGACCGCAATGTAGAGGTCCTCGGAGTGACCTTTGGGGAGGGCCCCTTCAGGTATGAACATGCTGATCCCTGCCAAGGACATTCCAACAAAAAAAATGAAAACTGGTTCATTTTTTTCTCCTGATTGGCTTCAACACAGTCACATGGTATTCATGAATACAGATTATTTGTTGGAAACCTAGTGGAAGACTGTAAAGACTTTCTTATAGAGATATCCATGCAAAAGTGAAATTAGGTCATGCTGCCATCTTCCTGGTAACTGCTTTTGTTACAGACAGATAGTGCATAAGGCCTACCATGTGTATCCCTGTGGAACAAAAGCACTTACCCAAGAAATGGCTGCCACACACAACCTCTATTAATCATACTTCATAAACAAAGAAGCTTAAAAACAGAAAGCAGAATTCAAGTTAATGGTACCAGTTATAATTTCAACTGTCTTCTCTTCAAAACTCTTTTTTTAAAAATTTATGAATTATAATAATGAGATCAGTAACAGCACGATTGTCATAAACCACACAAACTGACAAAGCAACAAGAGATTTTTATGATTCTAAAAAACTGGAGGCTATTGCGATCATCAACTGCAAATCCTGCACTCATGCCCTCCCTGTAAGTCAATTTGTGACTGGCTCTGTGTAATGAGACAGAATTCGCTGAGTCCATTGAGGAGTTAAGGGCCTCTGAAAAAAAATCTTGCAGGGTGTAAACCAGTGGGACCCCTCAATCTTTTTGCCCCAACAAACTGTTTATCTGGATATCAAACTGAGTGATACATCATATCCAAGAAATCAACATGCTCTTTCCAACACAAACTAAAACTCAAAATACGGCTTGTGTGGGAACGATACGCAGATTCATTATTTTCGAAACAGCGGGTCTCCCTGAAAACAATATCGTAACCTCACCTGCATCGGGTATGACTAGTCTGCCGCCACGATGGCTCACCATTCCCCAGGACATACAGTGCGAGTCTATATGAGACGGGATCCCCGCACTGACAATAGAGGGTGCCCTGCCCTGATCTGACCCGTAGGGTGAGCCAGGCGAGATGCTCTCCTCCTCCGACGAGTGCACAGCGGAGTCACGCAGCCGGCACTCGTGAAATGCTGTGGTGCTGTCCTCGCCGTCGGGCTCCGTGCACCGCTGCTGTGGCGATGGGGCGTGGGCCATGTTGCGGCATGGCAAGTCCAGCGGGGGGCGGTTGTGGAGGGCCTGACGGCAGCACTCTTGCGTGGGCCCAACGAGTGGGATGTACTGATGCATGGAGGGATCGACGATTGGGGTACCATTCGGCACGGCGTAGTTCGACGAGTCCGACGAGTAATCATTCAGGTGTGTCATGACGCCATTCTTGCCCAGGTATGTCACCACCATGCCATTGGGCTTGATGTCCTTGGGATCTTCGTAGTAGGCCTCGGTGGGGAAGACGGGCGAGGGCGTCATCTGGATCTTCTCTGTCATCTGGACCTTTTCTGGGTTGTGGTTGGGGAGGGTGACATGAGTGCACATGGTGTGAGGTGCTGACTGAGTCAAATCGGGCTGGACAGACAACATCGCCATATTACACTCATCTAGGACAGCAACGTTAACCAAGAAAGGCCGGGAATGAGCATGCTGGTATTTTTCAGACATCTTGGGGCTGGGTCAGGAAAGTTGTGGCTGCAGTTTTGCCCACTGACTGGGAAAGCCTTCTAAGAAATGGTCTCACTGGCTCTCATCATTTCATTCAGAGTCTAGAAATTCCAAATCTTGCCTTTGTCTCCAGCCTGGGCCTAATTTTTCTAACACCATTTTCTTCCATACTTGCTTGAGTACTTGCCTACATGTTTGTCTATCATTGTCATTATTGTCATTGTCAATAATTGTCATTTTGCCGTTGGGTAAGATTCTGCTGGGAATCAAAATGTTGGGCCCTCTGACTTTTTCAATTTAAAATCCTCTAAAGTTGTTAAATGTTGGTAAAGTTTGAAAATACTCCAAAGTTTGCTTTCAGATGGAAACTTGTGGCTGAGAATGGACCCGTGTTAAGCTGGGGGCGATCTTAGCTTGGGGTCTAAAATTGGGAAACTGATGCTGCAAGCCACGGCCAGAGACAAAGTCGTGATTCGGAAAACCGACCATCTGTAGAAGCTCCAACTGATAGTATAGTCAAAACCTCTTCAAACCGTCACAAGACCATGTAAGACCAATTCACATAAACTACAACAAAGGTACGGTAGTACTTGCGTCTGGTCTTGTGTCCGGTCTTGTGTCTGGTCTTGTGACGGTCTTGACTACAGCACTTCCTACTGCCTTACCTCTGGTTGATGCTGTGAAGCCGGACCCTTGCCTTTTCCGGCGTGTGACTATGCAGACAATAATGAAGACAAAGACGCAGAGAAAGACCAACACTGCCACAGCTACGCCAATGTAGAGTGGGATTTGATCCTCACTGGAATCTTTCACTGGAAAAGAGAATAATAATATGTACTTATAAAAAAAACACATCTACCAATAAAGATGCTCATGATGCAACATCACTACTACCCATGCTCACCAGGTGTATCAAGATTCCTATAACCAGCTCGCCTTCCCAGGAGTATACAAAGCTTGATGCTCAGGTGAAATCGCTGATCAAACATCTGCAGAAACCAACTATGCCCTAACAGGCATTCATTTATACGTCTGATATGAGAGAGGCAAGGAGGGGTCACAGAGTGACTTGTCAAAAGTCACTGCACAGGCTAATCTCTGGAATCGAACCCCGGACCCCCCCGACTGATCAGGAGTTACAAACCTTAACCACTAGGCCGCATGTGGCCTTAGATGGCAATAACAAACGCACATCAAAAATGACATCATCCAATCCTGCACTCTAATGGACTCCTGATTGCATGCCTGAATTAATCAAGAAATTCCCAAAATCACATCACCTCTATCAAACCCTCAGGAAGAAATCCCAGCTAAATTAATTACAATGGAAGAAAATTTCAAATTGGGATCAAAGCCTGAACTTCATTTGTAAAATCTCATTACACGAGTCTTCAGGAAAGCATTCCGGGTCACAATGTCACTCGTCACACTTCTCAATAAAGAAAAATAAAGATTCGACCAAAAAATCCTGCCAAACAGTTCAGATTCTGAATGACACCTCTCAAATAAAAAAATGCCACGATATAATGTCAAGAAAAAGGAAACCCTTCATATCACCTTTTTATATATTTTGATTTGAATGCTTGAGGTAATTTCTACGGAAATTAAAAAAGCCGTTCAAAATCAAATTGTGAATCTAGTTTCCAGGGCACATTTGTTCTTTTGTTTCTATAATCGTCCAATCAGCATCTACCTTTTGGGTCCTCATCGTTAGCAGCAACTGGCGGACCCTTTCCGTTGTCTGTCCCCATGGCTGCGACTGGTGGATTAACGGTGGTTGGGGAAGCTTTCATATCTACAAAGGAACGACATGAAGCCTGATATCGGATCTGGTTCTTGGTCTTACTGAAAAAGATATGGATTATGGTGAATTCTCTTCTCTGCTGTGCAATGGTGTACTCCGTTAACTATATTAAGATTTGTATCAAGAGTGCATGTTGTGTCTACATGTAGATGGGCTTTAGTATGAAAGTGGCAAAATCAACTACAATTTAGCAATATTGGTGAAACTCAAACCTAGTTCTAGAAATCAAAGTACTAGTATTTACTTGGGCAGCGCCCGCCAGAGCAGTTCCTCCTCTCAATATTTTCGCCAAAGCAGTCTTGGCCGCCATTGCTGGGGGGCGGATCATCACAATTACGACTCCGAACTTGCTGACAGTGACTACTACATGTCGACCAATCAGACCACCTCCCCCACTCTCCATTTACTGACCAAAAAAAAAGGGGAAAAAAAGGTATTTTATGCTCCACTTTAGCGTAAAGACTGCAGAATTCTGAGTTAACATTATTTTTTAGGCTGTAATGCCAGTTTGGTTATATATTATGACTGACATATTGTCCCATCAATGAGAATACAGATCTCTCATCCAAGGTACATAGGCCATCGATTTCACAAAATCTTTTCATACAGAAACATAAAAACAACACACGTTGCTGGTGCATGCTGCCCTCTACTGGCAGATGCATGGTTATTAACCTTCTCTGTGCCTTTGACTGTTGCAGATATGCAATAGGCACTACCAAAAACCCCGGTATACAAACCTTTCTTCTGTTGGCAAACAATGACCGCAAATGTGTGTCCAAAGTTTGCCAAGAGTTCACCCCTGGTTGGCAGCAACTTTTACCACGAAATGTACATTTGCTTTGTCAAAGCTGAAATGAGTCAAACTCATTTAGCAGTCAGTAGACTACTTATTATTTTAATACTTATGTAACAGTTTGTCAAACTTGGTGGATTAATTTGGTTTTCTACTCAGCCTTAATTGAAACAGTGCAATGCTGCAAAAGAAAGATCTTTAGGTCCTGGTTTTTCTGTGACTCACGGGAGTGCCCAGTAACACTGACTGCAACTCCATACCTGGGCAATCCTCGGTGCATGAGATGGTCTGCACATCTTGGCCGGGGCAGGGCTGGCCGCCATTCCTCCGCGGTGGATTGGTGCACAAACGCCGGCGCTCTCGCAGTCCCGTGCCGCAGGTGACGTCGCACTCTGTCCAACGACTCCACGATGTCCAACCTCCGTCCACTGAGTAAGGAAAAATGGGAACTTGTGTTTCAAGCAATTTTACAGTAATGTTATGGAGTTAACACACCTTTGCCTATTCAGTACAACTTCAAAACTTCTTAAACCACAAACCTTGTAAGTTCACGGATTATGTTTTGACCAACAAACCGTTCCCCTTTCTGTTTGTGGTGCTGCCAATGGAAAAGTGAACTTTCCCCCCCTTTTCTATACATGTCCGCATTCATTTTAAAGGAAGCCTCAAGTTTTTAAGAAAAGTTTTCAAAGTATTAAATCAAAAATTTGTAAATGCTTAAGCAGCTCTACAAAATGAAAAAAATAAAATGGAATTGTTGTGAACCTACTCGAATGATCTTCAATTAATATTTCATAAGTAGATTCAACTGAATGGTTTTTATATCATCGCAACAAGAATTAAATCTGTCACTTGTCAAGGAAGAGCCTTCAGACAAAAAAAAAATGATTCCACCAGTCTTGCAAAGCAGGGATTTTCATGGACCTGTATTTCCCACTGGTATCACTACTGTGTCCTCCCGCCCTCCCCCCACACAAAAAAAGATTCCCTAAAAGAAAAGTTCAGGACTGGAGGGATTTGTGATATTTTCTTGGGGGACACACACTGGGCTTTGCCGTCAATCCGCAGATAATGGGATGAAATATTTCCACAGGTGCTGAGTGCTGACAAACAACTCTCTCCAAAGTGAGATGGATGACTGTGCAGACTGAACTGACCAACCACCTGTTTGCCTGGGCAGGTTCCAAGGGAGGGACTGGAAAGCACGGGTGATTTGTTACAGGGCAGGTCACCGAAACAGAGCCAAAGATTTGCCGAGGAGAGGGGAAAGACAGTTCAATATGGCCCCACATGATCAAATCAGTTCAGACACATGTCTGTGTGCATTACTTGAATGTCTGTTTATAAGTATCACACTACCAGGCTTGTCAGATTTGACAGATGGCTTGAGCGGCCAGAGCTCTATTTCATCAGTACACTTCAGAAATCAAATGAACATTGGGCCCACTTGTTTCAGACTGGATCTGGATCTTGATCAGTGATCCCAAAACTGGTCCAAACAGGCAGTACTTGGTGTCAGTGAACCCGCACGAGGTCACTGATTTTTGATTAGGATCCGTGTGAAACAAACTCATTTTGAATAAAAATGAGCATGAATTTTCTGAATTTCTCAGACATGACCTGAGCTCTTTCCAAAGTGAGCCAACTGTTTGGTTGCTTTCCCTGCGATCTTGGAAAAAGGAATGTTTGACACAAATGGTCCCTTCTTCACTTGGGTATTTACAGACTGACCTGACACTCTGGAACTAGAAGAGCCAGTAATGCCATCTTAATTAACTAATGTAAATCACTATCACAAGCAGCCACAGCCAATAGTATTCTGTTGTGTGCCTGCTCTTCTAATGCCAGGAGGGACAGATATGCTTTTGGAAATTATGTTACAGGATGGACACAGGATTGAATCTTCTTACCATAGACGATCACCTGGGCGGGCTCACTCTCCCGTCTCGCTGCTATGTTCTCTGCGACACACGTGTAATTCCCGTTGTCCTCCAGCCTGATCTGGTTTAATATCAGGCCCTCCTGGGTCTGCAGGTAGTGCACGTCTGACGTGTCGATGCGCACGCCATTCTTCTCCCAGTACACTTCTGGCTCGGGGACCCCGTGAGGTGGACGACACAAAAGGTGGATTGATTGCTGTGGCTGAACTCGCTGACCGAGGGGCTCTTGCTCAAACAGTCTCTTGAGACCTGTTAAAAGAAGGGAGGGGGGAAGGTAGATCAACTGCCGTTGTGTTCGAATGATGTGCCATTGAGACTTTGGAGCAAACAAACACTATGCACCGAGTTCCAGCTCGGCTGAACATTACAGTTATGAGGCATGTAATCACATAAAGACATGGCCCACGTAAACATTACATCATTGTCTGACATTAGACTAGTTGAATATACACATTAGACAGGCTGCATACACTACAACGGTGTGTAGTGTTTCTTATTCAACTTAGTGTTTCCATGGAGAACACTATTTCAACATGACACCAACCATATCCAATGACACCCAACAATCGGCAAGTTTGTCATGTGATTCAAATCTTTGGATACTGATTCAGAATTCACCTTCAAATTCAGAATCATCCAGGCAGGAGAATTAGACAAAGATTCAGTGATTGTTGGTCTGGCCAACTCAAAACAATCAAACTTATCCCATTGGGCATAGCGGCCTTCTCCTTTACTGATCTTAAAAGCTCTGATTTTTAAGCCATATGTATTGGAGTTTGTTTCCACTCCCATGTTTTTAAAATGTTGTAAATCCCATTTTTGAAGGATCATCCATGTTGTAGTTCGTTCAAACTTTCATTGTCCATGCTTTTTGCAGCATCATCAAATTTCACTCTGTCTTGAGAAGAGCTGACTATCTGTAATGCATAAATGTGATGTCCTTTCTGAGTTACCTTACAAGGCTTCTTGTTCAAAGACAAAACAGTGCTTCACTGCATTATTTGCTTCTTTGCTCTGGTGAACTCAATCCACTTAGGAAAGGTCACCAACGTGACCTCCAGGCTTGGGGGAACAAGATTACACAAAATGGACATTTTGAGACAGAGTCTGGGATTTTTGTTAGGGGCTGACATGAATGTGACGCTATTGAACATATGACAAGAGAGCAGAGCTGAAAGGGCATAACAATGGAGGTTATTCCCATGCATGTCTTTTCTAACCAACCACCTACAAAAATTATAATTTGGCCTAACCTTTCTCAAACTGCAAGAATAAATATTTTGCCACGATGCTTCACACTTGCTACTTTCAGAACTTCTACCAAATGAGCACGGAGTTATTGGTGTGACAAATTTGACAAGACTTATTAAAGGCGATTTCAAACATCTTTTACACACAGGAATTCCCTGATGACAAAAATGTTTGCTTGGCAAGGCAAACAGGTCACTTAACTTTGAGACAATTCACAGCTTGCAGTTGCTCAGAATGTATTGATGAGAAATATTTCTGGTAAGGTGTTCAGAGAAACCAAGCTCGTTATATTGGAAATTTTTGGCATTGTGGTACTTTAATTTAGAACCCCTAAAAACACATCAGAACTTTGTGAACACTTTTGACGAGTCTCAACACATTCAAGGAATGTACATGAACGTGTACATGAATGCTGAGTCATCAAATCTTTTTTACACAGATCAGTCAACTCTAAAAAGAATTTTTTTCATTAAACATGCATAGATTTATTCATCACTTCCCTCTGAAATTTTTTTGTTCGGGCTGACAGGACTTTAAGAGACTTTCTTTTGTTTTTTTTATGTTCCTATGGATACCCCCCATGTCCACTGTCTGAATGCAAAACAAGGGGGTCATTCATTTGCTGTAATGCAAGACTGGTCAGACAGTCAAATGATCCGAACAAATCATCCTTCAATGTCAGCTTTGAAGCCTCAGGCAAAAAGCACTGAGCTGTAGACAGGTCATTAAGATTTCAAAGGCAAATATAATGCTGTTATTGGCCACACAAACTTCCAAGAAATAGGCCTAGTGGCTGTAACCTCTCCTGCATGGAGATGCAGAAGAGTAATAAGGAATTTTACAGATGTTTTTTATTTTAAAGATCAATTGTTGGCTGGCTGCAAAACAAAAAATCTTGGTACATGATGAACTAAATGATTATTTCCCGTAGTATTACTCCAACTTTGTCATGACCCATCACACCTGGCTTAGATCCCCCTCCTAACCTACTCCCACTTCCAACCCTGAAAAATCATGGAAAGATTCCTATGATTTCCAATTCCCCGCTGGTCAACCCTTGGCACCTTCAGAGGGTGACAGGCTATGCAAAAGCCAACTGTTGAGTGCATCTGAACACTATCAACATGGAGATGACTGTGTCATCCACATAACATGAGCTTCTCAGATTGGCGTGTGACACGCAGCAACACTCCTCAATACACTCCAATCCTTTGCAGAGAGATGCACAATAGCAAACAGATAAATTGCAGTGCTCTGCCTTGTGCGTAAAGCTAAATGTCAAAGCATCAATTTATAACCAACGCAATGAATAAATGATCAGAAAGTGTGTCTTTCTTGACCGCGCTGTGATAATTGGGTCTGGCTACGCTGGTGTAATGAGGCATGAAGTGTCTCAAGAAGGAGAAGGGAAATGGAAAAGACATACTCGGGGATATATATATATATATTTTCTGCCTCTCCGAATCACAGCCCAAATGCAATTCAATGTGGGTGGCATGTCGAACTAAGGAAATTAGAGACCTCTTGAACTTACGAGCAGAATAAAAAAATGGATGCAAAGGGTTTGTGAGGGATAAAACCTGTGATGTAAAAAAAAACCCGCACCCTGACAAGGGGAAAAGGTAAATCAGTTCCATTTTGTTTCAGGTGATGTTGATTTACCTCAACTGCTTATCTGTGGGGCTATTTCACAAAGTGGTAAAAACAGAAGGCGTAAAAGTCTTGAGTTCTAACCCCCCAACCTCTCTGTAAACAAGTAAACATTAATCCACAGTAATGTAGATTAATGATGTAGATTAACAACGAGAAAACTCAAAGCTGCAAACGACGACACAAAGAGAAGGTTTGTTTGGTTCTTTGGTTTTCCTGTTTCTTGTTTTCGATTTGAATCGTGCATTGTGGAAAGTGCAAAGAAAAGCAATGGAACAATCCATGGTACTTGGAAGGTTGGGCTCTCACCGTTTTATCAGATCTATGAGAACAACTTGCCCTGCTGTCATTTTTGCTTCCCTGCACCCTTTAAACCAGAGATGAGCTTGGGGCCCTAACACGATTCAACAATGTCAGGCTACAAGGAACCTGTGGGGCAGGCCTAAAGACTCACTCTCAAGGCTGCGGCACAGCCTCCAAGATCCACTGAGAGATCCCTCCAAACAATCCCTGACCCTACATCAACATGGAGAACAATGGGTCCACGTTCTCGGTCTCTGAAGGCTCTCAAACTTAATTAACAGATTCTCTTTCCCGAAAAAACTCCCCATGTTCAAGGCCCAATCACGACAGTGTTTATTTACTCGCGCGTGCCTACCCCGAGACCCTGCAACTCACTCCTGTACAGCCAGTGACTCACGGAATACACTTGTTCAAATATTTCCCCTGACTCGGACGCTATTCATCCTGCCCACTAATTTCAGTTTGAGAAGGTGGTCGCCGAGGATCATTAAGACACGGATTACCCGCTCTCGCCCGCCCCTCCTAGGCCTACAAACAAACTCGTCCAACAGTGAGTTCACTCCAAGCAGGCCCGCACCGTCATCATTGTGCAGTCAAGTCCCTTCCGCCCAATCAAAGAAAAAAATCCAAGTTGCGTTTCAGATTACAAATTCAGGGGGGGTGGGATGGAGTGGGCCAGGATTGGCTATCTCGTGGAAGCCCATTGTTATGGTAACCGAGGAAATGGAGTGGGCCAATGCTCCGACCCGCGTATCACTTTTCCCAGTATTCGCTGCCTAATTGAACTGCGCCACTGGAGGACCATTGTTCTCTTCCTCAGTGCCAATGTGGCCAAAACGGGGTAACCGGACCCGCCCGTACAAACAGCGCCCGAAATAGACACTGTTTTCAATTAACACAAAGTGACAGTAATCCACTGTCCATTGAACGAATGCTGTTGACTGTGGCACCTCCTTGGGGAGAAAAAATGGAGAGCTGCTTGAAAAACTGATAAAAAGGGGGGGGGGTCTTTACATCGGGCACATTTCTGAGTGAGACCAATATTCAAGGCACAAGGGGAGCACAAAAGGGCCAGCAAGATCAGTTTTGATTAGGTGGCCCCTCGTGTGCACTCTTATGGATCTGGGATTCATGTGAAATGTCCGTACACAGTAATAACAGGGTGGGGAAAGGACACTGTTGGTTTATGGCGAAAGTGAAGACAGTTTCTGGAGTGTCCAGGCTTGTTGCATGGAATTTTTTTCAGCTGTTTGAAGCTGTTGAAGGCATTGCGAGTTCACCCTCAAATGCTCAAGTGGGCAATTTTTAGACTTGGAAAACTTTTCATGAAAACATTTCTCATTTTGAATTTGATCAAACCAAAATCTCATGTATGATCAGATTTGAAACAAAATTCTGAAACCAGTCATACTTTTTTTTTTTAACAATTTCATCTAGTGGATCTTTATTCAATTTCTGTACACTTTATTCTGTAAGATTGAAGAATACACACTGACACCTTCAATGTTATACTTAAAGTATTTGTTCAGTGAAACATTTTTTTCACAATAAAATTTAACACAATCATTATATTTAAAAATTGCTACATGAAGATTTTACACAGAGCATCGGCCTCAACCAGCAATCTTGTGTTTGACAGAAGTACATGTAATCGCTTCAAAATTAACTTCCACCAAACGGTCCATTTGATATGAAAAGGAGCCCTCAAATTAATTCAGAATATCTAGTTCTGCACGACAGTTCAACGAATGCCCAGGGTTAAGGCCAGTTCGTACTTCAGCTGAACACGAAAGCGAGGCAAATTTGACGTCAGTGAACACCTGCAGCAAAATTTGGGGCACACATATTTGGCCAGACATCACAAAATCACATTGCTGTTCCCTTTTGAGTGAATATAAACCGGCCTTAACAGTGTAGGCAGAGAGCCCCCGGAACAATTACGTTAGAATCATGTCAATGAAGCTTTACAATATTGTCCAATTAAAATATTACACTAAATGCAAAATCTGAGACAAACAAAACTCGGGGCACAAAATTTCCACAGGGCAGTCTACTGGGCACAGCCGACTAAAAATCTGCCATGGGTCAATTTTAGTGGTCTTCAGCCGAAGCACTAGGTGTTCACTCACTTGCTATGCGCACGTATCCCTTACTACTCGTCGCGTGTGTGTTTGTGTCACTCCATCCAACACACTGGCAACTGTAGTCCTCGTTGCCAAAGTACTGCTCCACATCTTCTTTGGTGATTGCTATGGCAACAAGAAAACATATACTTCTATAAGCACACTGGCAGGGAAACAACGGAACACCTGTCAGTGAAACATCTTTGCTAGTATTCGACCACAAACAGACCCCTTCTGGATTCTTCCATTGTCCTTAAAAATACATGAAACACTTTGGATCAAATATACATAGGTGGTTTCAACAAACCTCAGCTCTAACCTCCAACCCAATTTCCTTAAAAGTATCCATGTTAGAAAGACCCAGAAAATTTGTAGAAAAAAAGAGAGAAATGCTGACAGACTTTATCAATACATGCAAGTTTAACATTTAACCCTCCCTCTAAAAGAAGAGGAAAGATTCCTCGGTTTGTTGCTGCTGGCAATAAAAAGCTTGTGTCAAGTCCTGGGACCACTGAACGGTACAATACATGATTCAAAGCCAAGAATGGAAGCTGATTTGGGTCTACATTAATTAGTAACTACTTACGAATGGTTCAGAGTTCAGAGTAAAAGCCATGTGATACCAGGTTTTCAAAAAGGACCCTCCATAGGGCCTAGGGCTCCACTGGGCTTACTTTCTACTTTAGAAAATTTGCATGTTAAGCAACAATCAGTGGGAAGCCAGTCAGAGGCAACATGTATTGTACATATTTTGACTGGCAACCGGTTTCTGCCAAACAGACTTTTTAACGCTTAGCAGGTTCCTGTGCTGAGCTGATCCATGAAAACCGAACCCCTTGCTCTTACATATGCTGATGATCATGAGCTGCTCTTCGATGTCATCAAAGGTTTCGTGGTGCTCCAGCCGCTCAGCCGCCATCCACTCTCCGTTGCACTGGAAGTAGAGCTGGAAGACGGGCTGGGCCCGGCAGGAGAGGGTGACCGGCCGGTTCTTGATGATGTAGGCATCTTGAGGCTCCTCAGAAAAAACTGGAAGAACAGCAGGAGGACCAGTTGCTGGCAGAGCTCCTATTGAGTAGAATGAGAAAAGTACAGTGGTTTTATGAAAATGGTTACAAGAAACTGACACTTAAACTTGGTGAAACATATGATATATATGTGATGCATCAATTGGTGAACGTTAAAGTGGATGGTGGGGGTGGGATTTTGGAAGAATTTTTCAATCAATATCTTTATCAGACACAGCTCAGCTGTTCCCTGTCTTAGATTGAAACAACTTCAAATTTTGGGTCAAAATATCTTTCATCTCTTCACTCAAGTACTTTTATCTTGACCAATCCAAACAAGAAAAAAATAATAAAAAAATTAACCTCAACAATTGAAGAAGAAACCTCAAACTCAAGTTTTGAAATGACTATGGCTCCAGCTCTAGCCCAGTCTTAACCTTAGACCTACATTTCAAGGTCTGAGCAGTGGTAGGCTATGACCAAAATGGCCCGCTGTTGGCATGTGCCTCTCATATTTACAACCAATGAAGGCATAGACTGTGCTCTGGACACCAGACTTGAATGCGGCTAATTTAATATACAAACTTCACCCATTTTGAGCTTTAGATTCCAATGGACTCAAAGTAACACTGTACTCAGATTAAAAAAAAACAGCCACTAACAGGAGGTGAAATTTTGAAAAATAGAGGAACTCGGTTCAGAAATGAACCCCTTTCAATCTGTTATTAAAATCTAAGTTCATTAGGTTCAGATTTTTCAAGTGAACTTGTGTCATCTTAAAAAGTGCAAGAAAACTCTGAATGCAAACAGTGTGTGAAAAACTAGACTATGGCGGCATTTGCCCCAGATTTGTCACTCAACAAAACTCATTGGCAATCATTTAATAACACATTTTCGCAAGAAAACACAACCAGATTGTTAGCGTGCCAGGCTCTGCCTTTTGCAAAGGAACCCCCTTAATCTGATCAACATGTTCCGACCGGACTAAAGCTGAAATCGTCACTCATCGCAAGTCGTTAAAATTCATTTAAATAATATTACATACACGGAACAGCCAAGAAGTAAATGATCCATTCACAATGTCTGCATGAGCCTCAGACCCCTCACTGCAAAACTCACTAAGCTTGCTCGGGCAAAACAGCTTCGGATCGACTAACCATCTGGTGAGACTGTACTCACAGACGAGTCTGAAGTGACTTTAATTCGCAACAGATTGCGACGCAGAACGGAACATCTGTCTCTGACTAAGAAAGAAATCAACTCGGGCAATGAAAGGGCGCTGAAAACTTGAACTTGAAATGTTCTTCCCATCACTGGCTGTGTTTGTGACCTCAAAAAACTTTCTCCCAATGAGGTGCCTCACTTGTGAATCATTAAGCGTGACCTTTGACACGTATATTTTAGGTGGTGATGGTAGTACACCCAGAATATGGAAACTCTTTTAATAGTACAAGGGTATGATATAGATGTAGTCTGTAGACATTATGCAATCTATAGCAGGCTGTCTGAAAAAGTCTTCCCTACAACTGGGAGCGCCAAGCATACAGGCAAAATCACAGGTTGAAAGAACAGATGCCGCAGAGATGAGAAAAACAGCTTCTGTGATTACATTAAACCCCAGAGGAATAATGCACTTTGTAGACATAGTGTTCAACAACAATGCCACATGCAAAGATTTGTGCTAAAATCCCTAGCATGAATTGGAATACACAAACATAAAATCCCTATTTTTTGGTTATTATTGGTATTATTTATTGCGCTGAAACTCTCAGCCTAATTTCTTGAAGTTCCTTGTCCACATTCACCTTTAATTGGTGAAACTTATATTGCTCGGCAAATATACCTGTCCAGCAAATAATGCTGAGAAATTTGAACAATCAGTGAAACCAGGCAAGTGTTGAAACACTGTGGCTAGTTATCCATTCCTTTCAGAAAGATTTGAGCTCAAATGGAATCTCAAGTTGTTACTTCTGGGGAAACATTTCAATATAACTCAATAAACATTCCACAGCACGGGGAGCTCACTGGCAATGGTCACCAAAGCAGGAGAAAAGACTGTGTGGAAAAGAAGTAAGCCACTGAAATTGACCTCCAGCTATGAAGGAATTGAGCCAAATCCTTGACAGAGACCGGGCAAGGTTATCATTGGGTCACCTCACAGCATAGCAATAGAGGCTGGAGTAGATCTTTCCTGCAGTCAGCTCTGGGCCTCACTGTGGAAAGGTCAGGATTTTATTCAGCTAAACCAAAGAATCAAATCCTGATGGTTTTTTAATGTCAGTTAATCAGACATCAAAACAAGTCAGGTCCCCCCTTCCTAATCTGCCTGGATGCTTGGATATGAAATTTCACTACTCTGGATTAAACAGGTGCTTGAGCCTTCTAATGGACACAGTGCAGTGTGCGGTGATCTGACACAGCAAATCTCCAGGTATTCTCAATATGTACATTGACATGAAATCAGCACAAGCAGGAATCTGCAGAATAGGAAGAAATAAAAGATTTCTGAAGCTCAGTCTCATGCTTTCAAGATCTCCAGAATCAGCAGAGAACCTAAACACTATCTAAACAGACTGTTATCAGATGTGATACATAATTCTTGCTGTCTTATCTTTAAAGTGAAGGACCTCTCAAAAGTTTGGTCACTCTAAGTTCACTTGAGCAAACTGAACTTATTCGAGTAAGGGGATCTCCAAGTGTTGTTTTCCTCACTAAACAATAGTTCACTGTATGTTTCAACACCTTACATACATAAACAATGCTTCAAAATCCTGCCAAATTGATTCAAACTTTTGTAACTGTAAGGCTATGCTTTCAAATATGTTCCACTCAAATTTCAAAATGAGTAAATTACGCGTAGTCTGGCCATTATTATCCCTTATTCTGCTACGCTGGTAAAAAAAACTGAACCATGATTTCAGTGCTTGATAAAACATTTCTCTTTAAGAATGAAATCTGAAGACATATCCAGAATTTGCCTGTAAACATATCTTGTGTGGATGGTGAGAGCTCTTGCACAAATGTTAGCATTCCTGGACTGCAGTGTTGGTATGCAGAAGATGCCCTACAGACAGCAAGCAGGATTAGCACTGGCCTGGCTGATGATAAATGGGGCTGCCGAGGTCGTCAGTGCAGGAGATGACCAGGAAGAGAGACGAGGAGGGGAGAGCCTGACATGTGATGGCAAGAAAGAGTTGATATGCAGCAGCACGTTCTCGCGCGGGCAGAAGGAATGTGCGCCGCAACACGTTGCAAGGACAGAATTAACAACCATTCATCATCTTTTTGAAATTGATTAGGAATCGTTCTCAAATTTTAAGTCCTCTGCAGATGGAGCTGACAGACAGTACTTACAAATTTACATGTATGTTTTACAAGGATGAATCTCATGTAAGACAAACCAAATTATGGTGTAATGTAATGTAGCTGTGTAGAATTTCAGATGTCATTCAAAACTAATCAGAACAGGTCAGAAAAACAAGCATGTAACGCACAACGTTATGTGCATGCAATGGTTATATGGTGAATGTAGAAACTTTTATTCGTTTTTGAATTTCACAATCATGAAAATACGCTGGAGGTTGGGCCCCTAAGTACATTGGGCTGACCTGTACACTACCACATCAGTATTACAAAAAAGAAACATAGCAAGCCAGGAAAACTATCAACGTCATTGAACTAAACTATGATCAGCCTGAACGGCACTCCAAACAAACAGTTTGATGCAGTGGTCATTCTCCAAAGGCCCTTGAGGTCTCCCTAATGACTGGACAAATACAATCTGATCCATGGCAGTCAACATCAGTTCGGTTCTGGTTAGAGTCTGTCGCATCCTGAAGAGATTCCAGTCAACCTGACTTTGCAAAGTTTTGTCAATTTGCTTCTGTTTACGTGAGCACAGCTTCAGCCAGTTGGTTACAATGTTTGGCATTTGAACAGTAGACATAACCATCATCGGGCAATGAAGTGGCCACGTGTCTAGTATTTTGTTCCTCTCAAAGTCAAAGGTCATGGGGGGAGGGGATTTGGGTATGTGAAATTCTGAACTTTTCAGTTTCGTTGGCAAAAGTACATTCCTGAGCTATCCACCCTTGTTGAAGTGCACCCTCTACGGCAAAGAGATGGGTTGGTGGAAGACCATACATTATGACACTAATTGACTGCACGTACTTAGTGCATTCTGCACCAAACATGCACGAACTTGTGCATGTAGACATTGAGTTCCCACCAAAGGACAGCCAATGCTAAAAAAGGGGTACCCCCTCCCACTTTGGTCAGATTGGCAAAAGACATACCCGTGACCAATGCTTCTTACAATTACATGTAATGTCAGATGTTGTCAAGCCCTTTGAACCTCGGATATGGTGAGGTGTGGTGAAAAAGGTGACGTAACAATCACTAATTCCCTATACATAACTGGTCTTAAGTCTTTGGGGTCTTAACGTGAAAATATCTTGGACTGCCTAATCTATCTGAAAATTTCAAGACGAATTCCACCAAACACCAGTCTGTGGTTTAGAAGTGTCTCAAAACCTAGAGCATTCTATTATAAAATTCTGCCAACTCTTACTGCCCACCTGATGACACTTTAACAGCTGACAAGGAGGAAAAAAAATAAGAAATCCTGAAGTCTTTGGTCTTTTGGGAGAATTGCCTTTGCCTGGGGCGCCCAATTAACAAACTCCCCCACAAGCCATTCCCCTCCACAGCCACCAACTAATCAACTCTGACATTTCACTGGGCCAGAGAGAGAGAGCGAGAAAGAACCTCTTGACCATACCTGGCCCCTAGATTCCGCCAAACACTTGTTCCAGCCCCTTGATACTGAAGCTCTCTAGACCCTTCACAGGCCCTCCATGATTGTGTTAAGTAGTCTTTAATGGTTCGGCCAATATGTATTATCTTGAAAACACAACGGCCCCAGGGCTACACTCAGGCTACAGTTTGGATGATTTTTCCAGGCCACGGCACCTCAATTTTCACCTACATGGAGGGGGAATTTTGGGATCCTTAAAATTCCGTCCATGTAACCGTATGAACTGGTTGTGTTCTGTGCTGTAA